TATCTCTACCAGTTCTCGGAAATCAATTAGTACATGTATTTAGGCTTTCAATCTCAACAAGGATTTTCCAGTTTAGTGGAAAGTAGCCAGTATAACACCAGTATATCATTGACACCACGTCTTAGAATATGTGATGGAACATAGAGTGTTCGCTGTGGTCCTCTCTCACTAAATCGTCCAATATTGAAGCCGTTGATCATAATAAAACCATGACCCCAATTATCTGTACAAAGAAAAGAATGTAGTGGGTTTTCATTGTTAATAGTGAACGTTGATCGATAAAATGTTGGAGAGAGAGTAGATGTATTAAGCCACGTAAATGTAGTTGACTGATCAGATAATATATCATTCATTGGCAGTTTCGTCATTGTCCAATTCCCCAATTCTTTTAAACCTAATATTGGTTTTCCTTTCATTCCTTTGAAACTACATCCGAAGCCAGCTTTGGTACCACAACAACGGCCTTTATTTTCAACAAGAATATCAAGTTTTGGATTTGGATTTGATATTAAAGGATGTAAATTGATTTCAGTAATCGGTACTCGTTCTGTCCAACCAATAATACCTTGTATGATACCATCTAACATGATCACAGCTCGGTCTTGCATCCATGGTAATAACAGAGGCTTTGTTAAACCCGTAAAATTATGTAGTTGTGTTGTATAAAGAATGTATCCATAACTTTGATTTAAATATTCAAACTGCATAAGTAAATCATCATATACTACATCAAACGGAACAAGATTTTTTAATAAAGATGCACTAAAATTAAATATAACCGAGCCGTACAATCCTTTGGATGATGGAGGGGGTACCGGAAATGGTTCCAGTGGCGTATATTTGGCAATAACATCACGGACAGCTTTAAATTTGGTTATGTGTGCATCGCCACATTCCGTTACCATTGCATCATAATCATACGATGTTGTTATTGCATGATATGTTAGCTCCCAATCAGCACCATTAAAAAAACCAAAATTCGTACCACCAAATACCATACAAAAGTTGATAGAACCATTTTTAGATAAAATAATATCTACACCTTCTGCAAACACCTGACTATCCAGTGTTGCATGTTTCTCTCCTTCCAAATCCATCCAAGCAGGATAATATTCTAAAACCATAAATGGATTATTTGTTTTAATATGTTTTCTTAAACGTTCGATTGCCGTCGATGTTGAAAAATCTACTTTATACTCAAGAGCTGCCCATGTATTTGGAATTATTGCTTTTGTTAACGATATAGTTTCAGGCCATGAAAGAGTATTTATTAGACTGTGAATACCACGTTTAACTAATGCATCACGTAGATAACTGTAATAGGCATGTGTGTCTTTGAAACTAATCAATGGTACATCTGTATCATCTTCTATTTGAAAATTAATGATGCATCCACCCTGATTATATTGTAATGGTACTAGTAGTGGAATCATTTTATCAAAATAACGATCGATCAACTCATAATAAACTTGATTAGGACGACGTATTGCTATATTATTCTTTTTTGTTATCCAATAAGGAAAACCACCAAAATCAACTTCTGCTGTAATGTAGGGTCCAACGCGGACAATCACTAATA